AGAGAAGTTTCTTAGAAGATTTAAGTTCAGTTCTTGACTGAGTGAAGCAAAAATTTGGCTTGTAGAGATGTAAGCCTACAAGTTAAAATTTGCAGAAAGGTTTATTATGAGGGTGAGAAAGACTCTTTCAGTCAAAATCTTTGGCTTCTTTTGGTAAAGCCCACAATCAGTTTAAGAAACACACAATAAGAGAAGCATGCATCCACATTCTTTAGTTCTGTGGCTTGAACTTTTCCAGAGGGGCTTCTCTGAATCACATCAACAATGTTTCAGGAACAGTAACTGTGATCTGTGACAAAATGTCACATTTTCTTAGTGTTCCTCATGTGAAAACCCCTTGCTTTATCTAAATATCAAAGTGTTTGTCAGTCTTCTTGCAACTCACGATGTCATTCTTTTGTCTTCTTAACTTCTCCTCACTATCTATGAAGGAAATTAAGTGCCTGTGTTTTCTGTGCTCATCTAGTATCCTGTCTTCTCGCTAGCAATTCAAAGAGTCCAAGGAGGGGTTGAATTGCAAGCAGTAATCATTGTCTTTTAAGTTTTACTCAATTTTAATTAATTTTAGATAAAAATAAACCATCTTATATAATAACACATGAATGTAACACTTCAGCTCTCATTACTACCTTGTAACAGTCATAAAGAGAGCAGGTAAAACAAATTTCAGTAAATATTTGCCAAAAACGTACTGTCTTGATAATGGTAAACTACAATATTCAGTTTTGTTTGCTCTGATTAAATTGTTAGTATGGTTTCCATAGTGCTTACAGTAAAATTTGCGTTTTCATTTTACTTCATTCTAAATCTATTTCATTTTGAGTTGGCAATAGAGCTCAGCTTTTCAGTTTCTTTTTCTTGTAATCTGAAACATGCTGTCCCACATTTTTCAGCTGGAAAGGTGTCTCACTAAAAGTGTAAAAATAATATAGAATTCAGAAAAATAACTCCTTTGTATTGAACATTGTACTGCTTTGACAGGGAGTGAATCAAAAATAATGAAACTTTCACAGGATTTCTGCTGCATGATACGATTCAAAATTCTATTTTTCCATCTCAAATAACAAAGCAAATCACAAAACCTTTTATAAAATGCTAATTCTGTTTTTCAGTCAGTTCACAGGCTTTTCAGTCATTTTCACAGGTGCACTTGACATTGACAACAGGAAGAGAATAGATGTGAGAGAGGAAAAACATCAGTTTTATTTAGTACTCTCATAAAAAGAAAGTAGACACATCTCTGTTGTTACTCTTCCATGACAAATACCTCAGTCCTATCCTCTTCTGTTTTTTAACCATTTGATTTTGAGTGTACCTTTCACTGTTTTATGTGCTATCTTTTGTCAATTGAAGAGAGAGGAATCACTATTCCTGTCACCAGAGGCAATAGACAGCTGTCATCTTTATTTATGGTCACAGTGCAGAAGAAAACCCAGGGTTACTGAGGTTCCAAGTGAGCTTTCTACATATAGTGCCATGAGTGAGTATGAAGAGGAACAAAAAAATCCCTGCCTACGTTTGGAGAGGGTTATTCCAGAGGATCCAGGTGCTCTTAGTATCTAATACCAAACTAAAATACATCCATTCACTAAAAGTCTCAGACTGAGTCAAGCTTAACGTTTCTCTTTCTATGTCAGAAGCTTGAAGATTGGTGTAGCCAGCAGTAAGACTCTTTCTTATTCTTATTTTCTTATTTGAAGAATCCTTACTGAGCTGTTCTTTCAGCCTATTTCTATATCTCTTTGTTTGGCTCTCCTCAAAATAAAAGCAAAACCATACCTTTCTAACGAGGATATTTATGTAACAGAACCTATGCTTTTACAGATTATGTATACGAAACTATAGCTCAGGGCTGATTTTTTTGAACTCTCCTTGGTCAAACTGTCTCCTGCAGTGAATCCATGCAAGCTCTGCTGATATGCACTGTGTCGGAAGGCTGCATTTGCAAGAAAAAGACATATAAAACGTACAGGGAATCTAATTCTAATTCTTGTAACCATTACTTTCTCGTTTAATTTACGAGCTTTTCAAGTTAAACCACAAGCGACAGAATGAGACTGTGGTTGCGGTGGGGGAAGGACATAAAATTACCCTGAACAAGATGAAAATACAAATACAGTATTAACTAAACCCGAATAGAAGTAAGGGTGATTCAGAGCAGGAGTTCCTGCTCGCCCACGCTTTCCTGAACGAGGAATTCAGGATCAGAGCCCCAGAAGGATTTGGCAAAAGGAGAGTCTTGCATGCTTCACTCCCCTCCTTGCCCTTGGAAATGACACTAGGAAAACATCTTTTCTTTTTCCTTCTTTGTGATCGACATCTTCTGTCACAGTAAACCGTGACAATGGCACCTCCTCTCTCTTGAAGGCTCCTGTAGGCACCTAACCACAAAGTCTGGATCTTTACAACCCTTATTCAAGAAGTGCCTGAATTTGGGAGGGACTTGTGCTTTACTGACAGTAGTGTTCCATAAGTGCATAAAACCTGCCTTTAGCTAAGATGCTAATCCTGGTGCTGTATCGCTTATTTCAGCATGTATGTGTTTCAGCATCCATATCATTTTTTTTATCTCCTTCTCATCAACACATGCCCTCAAGCCTAGACCAGAGCCTAGAAGCCGCTCTCAGAAAACACCTTCATGTTTGGCAGTAAGAGAAAACCCAGTATACTAAGTATTCAATAGCTTTACGATAGGAACACTGGTGTGACAGATTTAATGGGAATTTTCATCTATACTCCCACCTCCCAAATATGTATACTTTTTAGAGGAATAGTACCTAGGAGTGGGATACGTCCGTTTCTGAGAGTAAAGAACCTTCACTTGCAAAGGCTTATTATCAGAGCTCAGTAAACATTTTGATATGAATTAAACTTTCCTGTTGGTTTTGAGGAGTTTAGGGGCATGTCATTTGAGAAGGGTATCTGAGGCAGTAAAGAGTCCATAAATAGAAGTTTACTATGGTAAGTCACAGGCAGAAAAGATGAAATGGATGATACTAAGTTTTCTCAAGAGCTTTGCGTCAGTAAGTGCTGTTTCAAGTTCCCCTGAAAATTCAAGAGCTAGCTTCCTGCTTGATATAGCTCTACTACTAAGAGCAGAATTTCATCTGAAATGGATTTGGCTCAAAAGGCTTTTTGCAATTTTGATCACATGATGTACTTATTTCTTGGAATGTTGGTTCTGTATCTTGTGTATAATGTATTAGAAACATTTTTTTTTCTTAATTTCTATTTTCTTGTGACTTTTTTTCTGGGCTTCCAGCAGCTCGGCTAAAAACTCCCGAAATATCAGAAACGTTAGTTAACATCACTTTTTGATATGACTCTTATTAGCTCGGAATCTTTTTAGCTGACATTTGAAGCATTATGTCAAATTGATCTGGCGAAGAAATGAAAGAAGTAAGCCCACACTAAGCATCTTGCTGCTGTAGCTGTGTTTTTTTCTGGATATACAGCCAGTTTATTTTTAAAGTTAGAGTTGAATATCTATACTGCACCACAGTCTGCAGTAGAAACCTCATTAGGAATCTTTTTTTTTTTTTTTTAATCAAAAGGCTAGCAAGTTATTTGGTAATAGCTTCTACGAGAAATAATAGTTTTTGTCAGAAAGAGTTATTGCCAGCTAGATTTAGTTGACCTCCAAGGCTGGCCACGTCTCTGAGAAATGACCTGTTGCACTACATATCTGTTCAGTTAAATAAGAGGGTTTTTTTTTAAACCAGATCTGAGGTTAACTGGCACCACCTGTCTTGTACGTACAAACCTTGTACGTAGGTTTGTTTTGGAAAGAAACACTTGTATTAAACAGTGCAGATGATCAGGATCCAGTGCTTGTACTCATTCTCTGGTCCTCTTCTATTTAATAGCACAGATGTACCCCCAGTTATTGGCTGGTTTGGCCTGGACTCCTTTTCCAGCCTTTACTCCCAGTGTTCATAGAACTCACTGTTGATCTGTCATCTGTTTTTCTCATCAGTGATTGCCATTTCTTCACTTTTTTGACTCTACTTGTTTAAATTGAATCCCTGTACTTACAGCTTAATGAAAATAAGTGTGCATGCAGGTAGCATGCTGAGGCATGACGTTACCACATTTTATGAAATAAGTAAGTTAAAACCATAAGCTACTGTGTTTGCCAAGAAAGCTCTGTATAGGTCAGTGAAAGCATGATTTTACTTTGCAGGCTGCAAAACTAAAACTGATTTTGCAGAATTAGAGGTGACACAAGTGAGATAGCTGCAAACAGAACATTTTCCAAGAAGTTATATCTTGGAGCATGGAAACTATAGCTTTTCTTTTTGTTAGATGACTTGTTATTTCTTTAGCCTTGTCCCTTCAGCCTCTAAACTAGTCCAAGCAACTACAGTCTGTCCTTGGCTCTTGCTTATACATTTATTTTCTTATACTCTGTTTATAACATGAACATACTAAAAATAATGCTTGCAAGTTCTCCTTTCCCATAGAAAGAGATTTCCAGCATATCACTGTTTGCTGGACATAAAAAAACCACCCCCCCCCCAAATCAGAAAATATTGTGTATCTGAAGAGAGCAATCTCATGACATCCAAAGCAGATAGGATGGATTTCATTCATGGAGATCCTACAGCATAGTGTTCCCATGCAGGCATTGAATTAATTTCAAATAGTTTGAGCCTATGTGATTTTCTTTGTCTTGCAATAACATAACAATAAGAGGTGTGATAGCATATGGTCTGCAAAAAAGTATGAGAAAGCCATTCAGTAAGGAAGAGATCCTTCACCCTTGCATTTAGCTGTTCAAAGTAGGAAGAAAAAATGAGACTGGCAAAACACTAACACAATTTAGAGGGAGAAGCCAGTTTTCAGAAGATAATTTTGACGGATCGAGTTTATTAAGAGATTAAATGTGGCTTTTCACATATTTATGACCTTTAAAAAAGTTAGTTAATTAATAGAAGAAATGTGATCTCAATTTCTGTTCTGACTTATTGCTTCTCTCTTTCTTGTCATTTGTCTTCTAGGTTTCTAAGCTAAGCACTCATGATATGATCCAGCTAGCTTATAGGGATCAACAGCCTCCTTCTGAATAATGGTTAAAAACGGATCCCACCTGGACAATGAAACGCTGGCAATGCTCCAGAATAAAGCTATCTCCATCACCCTCCCAGTGGTGTACACAGTGGTGGCTTTCATCAGTATCCCTGGCAACCTGTTCTCCCTTTGGGTGCTCTGTTGGCATATTAAACCCAAAACTTCTTCTGTTATCTTCATGATCAACCTCAGCATCACAGATCTCATGCTGGCCTGCTGCTTTCCTTTCCAGATTATCTATCACATCCAAAGCAATCACTGGGCCTTTGGTAAGACTCTCTGCAGCCTCGTGACCGTGATGTTCTACTCCAACATGTATTCTTCAATACTGACCATGACTTGTATCAGCATTGAGCGGTACATGGGGGTGGTATATCCCATGAAGTTAATAAAGTGGAGAAGAAAAAGGTATGCCCTAGCTGCCTGCCTAGGAATGTGGATTTTCTTGATGTTAGCTCTCTACCCACTAGAAACCACAGATCTGACCTATGAAGTGAAAGAACTGGGGATTGTAACCTGTTTTGATGTCCTCAAATGGGATATGCTGCCCAACTTCGCAGCCTGGGTAGCCTTTCTCCTTACGTTATTTATCGTGCTCTTTTTGATCCCTTTTATTATAACAGTGGGATGCTATATTGGCACCATTCGGAAGCTTATTCAGACATCTAACAGATATGGTAACAAGCAGAAGACTAGATCTTTATACCTGGCAATGATAGTCCTTTTAGTATTCATCACTTGCTTCGCCCCCAATAACTTTATCCTACTTGTGCATATGGTCAGCCGCCTATTTTATAGCAAGAGTTTGTACCCTGCCTACAAGCTTACCTTGTGCCTCAGTTGCCTCAACAATTGTATTGATCCCTTCATTTACTACTTTGCATCCAAAGAATTTTACCAGAAATTCATGCAAGTGTTTCGTCCCAAGGCACTGCTCAGTGACAGCTTGGAAAACAGAAGGGAAAGCTTATTCTCTGGCAGGACCATGTCAGCCAGGTCTATGTCAAGTGGACCTATGGATGGGTTAGAGGGAGTAAAAGTCTACTTGCAAAGGCATGAAAGTGTTTTTTAGCCTTAGACTTCTCAAGCAGAAAGGCACCTGTGAGTTCCATGAGTAGAGAAAGGCGGCATTTCTTTTTGAATGGCTATTCTCAAAATGACTTGTCCCAGTGACAGAAGTTTAACTATACTTAAGAGAGAATATCTCACATGCTACTTTAGCAAGCTACTGTTTCCTAGGAAGAAATGGAAGAATAAAAGGAATTAAGCTTATTAAAAGAGCCAGTGAAGTCAAAACAACATTGATAATTAAGGATTGGCCTGGAATGAGTTCTACTGCATGAAATCAAGGAATAAGTTTAGAATAAAAATTACTTTCAGGTTCTCTGATCTCAGTGATTAGCCAAAGACTTTTGATTCTCAGAGAATGTGAAATTTTACTGTATATGAACTGAAGCATATACTGAAGTGGGGTTTGGGGGAGGGGAGTTATTTTTCTAAGTAATGTACTATTTTTATGATCACATGATCACATGGCTTTCTCTCATGTTGTATTTCTATAAAAGAATGAACAAAAATAGTCTGGCATTTTACCATTGATGCATTATGTATAGCCACTGTGAATTCATCAGAACACTCACCCAATATCTGTACGAAACCGCGCTAACCTTTGAAAAGGTTAGGTTGACTCACATTATTTATTTCGATTTTGTATAGCAAATTATCTTATAAATGAAAGAAAAGCTAAAATTAACAGTGTCTGAGACCACCTCAGTTGCTGAGTGGATTGTATTATCATTTCTTAAAGCTATTAATTTCTCAGGAGAGTGGAGAGTGGTTGGATTAAGAAAACAGTTTCCTCACAGTCACCTACTACGGTAACAGTGCTGCTGCTGGTTTATGACCGGTATCAACAAGTGATTTTCACCAGTTCTCTATAGGCCATGTTGAAGAACCATCTCCCTCAGCAGAGAATTTTGCTTTATATTGTGTGTGCATGATAAGTTTATCTTATGGAGGTGGTGTAGGTTGTTAACCAAATTTTCAGCTAAATATATGAGAATGCAACAACCAATTGAAGTGATTCTCTGCCAGCAGAAACCAACTGAAAACCTGTCCCTATGGCCAAATGTTAGAATATGCTTATTGCAAACAGGCCAACAGAAAGAAGCAAAAAAAAAAAAAAAAAAGAAAGAAAGAAAGCAAATCTTGAGAATGGGAGAGACACCAAAGAGCCTGGAACCAGGCTGTGAATACAAGCAGGTTGATTGTTACAGTTCTATGTCTGGGACTTCTCTCAGAAACAACCTTCTCCAGCCTGTTGCATATATTGTGTCATGTTTTTCTTCTTCTTGCACCTCAGCAACTGCCTGCATGCTTGGAAAGAAAACAGCTACAGAATGTGTCCTGGGGTCAGATAAAGGCAGGGAGTGACTCAAAACTATATTTTTCCTGTAGTATTTACAGTTTTATACCTACTTTTGGCTCTCATGACAGTGAAGAGCCAAAACTGCCTGCCAGAGCCAGACAAGTTTATCCTCAAAAGTGGGACAAAACTATCCTGTATCCTTTTGCTATGCTGTGACTTCATCCAGCTCTGAGTAGGATGCTCTCTTTGACATCAGGCACAGTTGGTTTAGATACCAAATGCCAGGTGAGCACAGAGCAGTGGCTGCCAATTATACCAATTTCTGAGTACAGTACTTTCTGTCTCTGAGTAAAAGGCATCAGGCCAAGGCCGCTACAGTTTATATGTCTTTTTCTTTTTATGACATGATTGAAATCCAGTTTTCCACCGCTGATTAAGGTGTGATTTGTTCTGTACTTTAACTTTGTCCCATCCCAAATTTTACCACGGTCTTCACTGTAGTGGTTGAATAACTACAAAATGGACTGTGAGATATTTACATGGTCTACCTCTGTCAAAGTGTCATTAGCTATTAGAGCAGGATAAAAGCCAGTGAACCTGGTGATACCTTTCAAAAGTTATGTGAAGTGCTTTGGGTCATTTCACGGTGTTAGTTATAAGTGATCTGTGTATTTTCTGCCTACAAGGCCAATCTTAGCAACAAATAGTCAGTCCAAACCTTCCTATCAAGTTACTATGTGGAAGCTACCCTCATTAGCTGCTTGTGTGCCAAGTGTATATGTGTAGTGAGATGGGTTTGCAAATCTAAATCACCTTCCATGTGCTGAAATAGAAGAGCCCACTGAATTTGTTCCTGTATGAGTTGGTGGCTCAAATCCATGTTCCTGCTCTAGCACACACTCCAAAATGTCTGCTTGTGCCCAGATCTGTGCATCTGGTCAGGAAATGTGAGCAGAAGGCTTGAGGAGGAAGAGATCCTAAGAATCTGAGGACACACAAATCTAAGCAAACGTAAATACCTAAATCTGAGGAGTTTGGATATGTGCCTCTGTTTACCTACACTGTCTGAAAACATTCACAAAATAGGTTGTTTCTAACGTGTTCCACTTCCATGGGGCAGAAACTCAGTTCGTTCATGTTTTGCAAAGCTGCTTATGAATTTAGCAGTGTATAGTTCACCTTGCTGTTGAAGTCCCTTTAACTACCCACTTTCACAGAATTCCGTATTTCCCACTATCAAAACTGATTTCAGCATCCTGTTGTGGCAGAAACTTTGTTTTGGAGGAAATACTACAATACATATTTTTTTTAACATGCAAATATTTTTATAATGAAAACAGTCACTTGCCCCAGCTCTAATGCTGATTTTCACTCTGGTTTATTTGGAACCTAATCCTGAAGTGCTTAGTGCCTCATGAAATGTGCTGAAACATGCCTCAATTTTAACTGACATCAAATGGAGCTGCAAGGGCAGAAACTATATTTTTGAAAATATTGAACTGCTCCTTTTGCAGGGCAGAAAAAGATGGTTACAATTGACTGAAAATGTTCTTCTCTCCAACCTCGCACAGCCCTTCATAGCACTTCATCTCTCTTCTGATGCTGCCTAAAAAGGAATAGGAAGGATACCTCACTCAGGTTTCTCTTCATGTAATCTCACTAACTAGCCTGTAGTTAGCTCACATTAGGCAAAAATCCCATTCAAGTCAGTGGGACTGTTCCTTGAGTAAGGAACGCAGAAGTGATCCCAGTGAGAGCAGTCTTTTGACTCTGATAGGATACACTGTGAAGGCTTTTTTTTTTTTTTTTACGAGAACAGAAGAAGAAATTATTTTCAAAAGTAGCCCACTGTACTGTTCTTTGACACTGGAAACATGTCCTTGTGGGACACCATAAGGTGACAAGACTGCTACCCTCCTTATTCAGTGGGTATATGTTGCTACGTGTATATAGAGATATATGTATGTAGCATTTGAGGAGCTATCAAGAAGTTCATGTCTATACTTCCCTCGCTTCTGGGAATGTAGGATCTGGGTGACATTTTTACTTGTTTGCCTGTGTGGTTAATGTAATTTTACTGAGGAGGAGACATGACTGTATGGGCTTCTGATTTTTCTGTTTTTTATTGTTTAACAATTTAATCTCTATGAATGTGCTTAGACTTTTTTGTATATAATAAATAAACATAAAAATGATTTAAGATTGTTTCCTGTGTTTTTATCTGCCATGCATGAGTTTCTTCCAAGCTTAGAACAGGACTAGGAAACAAAGTTATGAAGTACAACAAATCTGTTCTCCATTGCTATTATACTTTTAGTTTTTTCTATCTATCTAAATTTTTAATTTTGTATCTATTCCTAAGAGAGATAGAGATGAGTTTCACGGTCTTTCCCCATGCAAGAACTGGTGAGCAACACATTAAGCTAATGACATCTGGGATCAAAACCAACAACAGGAAGTATCTCTTCTTATAACACATGGTAGAAATGGGGAATGCCTTGACAAAGGTGTTGTAGATGCACATCATAGATGGGTTCACAGAGAGACTGGAAAAGTGCCTGGAAAAGAGATCTATTTCAGGTTACTAGACAGGCAAGCCACAGCAGAGTCAGGAAAACTCCTAAACTTAAAATGGTCAGAGGTTGGAGGAGTGTAAATGCGAAAAGACATTACGTGATTGCTCTGTTCTTAGCCTTTTTGAGATACCCAGTTGTGGCCAGTGTTTGAGGGAGAACAGAGTAAGGTAGGCAGACCCCTGGCCTACCACACCCTCGTCATTCTTACGCTCCCTTGCAATGTCTGCCAGAAACTTCCTGGAGCACTGTCTACCCACGAGCATGGCCTCTTCTACACTGCCTGCTATGGGTGCTGCCTGGCTGGATTTAGCAGAGAGCTTTGCCTGCTACTGCCTTGGAGGAGTCTACCCAGAGCCAGGGAGGGAGCTAAGAGTGCCCCAATGGGGAGCTTGGGGCACAAGCCTGCTTCTTGGCGCTCGTTCACTTAGTACTGTAGACAAGTCCCTCACGTTGGGGCAAAGTTGAACGCTGAAATCCCGCTTCAACAATCAGCTAGTAACAACACTTAACTGGTTTTGCCTCAAAGCATAACATTATTAATTCCATTTCTAACCCCTTTTCTCGTTTTTTCCTTCACCTGCCTCTCTTGAAGGCTGGTGTCACTGGAGCTGACTAACAGCAGATCTTGTTGTCTTCTTGTGGCAGTGCCATTCACAATCGCTGGCTCTTTCAACTGGTCAGGCAGCAGCCTAGTCTCCTCTTAAAAGCTGCCATAGCTGTGGTAGTGTGATTCTCTTGCCTGGATTGTTACAGATATCCTGGCAAGACCTCTAGTGTCCCTTTGCTGAAATAGCATGTGCACGAGTCTTCCAATGACCTAGCAAGTTCCTAGAGAAGCTGGTTTAAGATGTTCTGACAGCATATTGTCTGTGTGAAGGCTGATAGGAGAATTTTATTGGCAAAATTTTTAGATGTAGCTTAAAGCTGTAGTCTTTTAAGTGTCCCAAATGAAAATTCCAACACTTAATGAATCTCGCAAGTCAATCGGGATATAAGCCTTGGTTATTGAACCCATTAATCAAACCAATCCAGAAAAAAAAAAGAGGAATTTCTTACTGGAATAAATCTTGTACTGTCTCTCCTCATTTTGCTGCAGTTTGTAGTCTTAAATGGAGTTACTGAGAGCAGAAATTAACTCATATTATTCATTTTGATATATTTATCTGGGTTCTGCGCATTCTGGGTTGAATTTTTGCAAATAATTGTCCTGTTATCAAACCCATAAAGTATAGTTATAGAGGATGTGGGTAGACCATATTGCTTAGTGGAAATATCTTGTCCATTACAAAAAAGCTGGCTTAACTACCAAAAAAACTACCTGTCTGAAGACTGGACTGCTACAGAACTCCTAATCTTTCACGATTCTGTTGCAAGTCTTATGGTTTCCAATATTTTCCCTTAAAGCCTAAACAGTTAGAGATATGCTGTCAGATGAGGACACTCTCATTTCTCTCTTATTATAAAACAGCAAGTTCGGAGCTGCCAGCCAGAATATCATTCTAGTACCTCAGCCCCCTGCTTGACTGTCTTGGCTCCTGATT